GTGGTAGTGGTTAAGTGTCATGGAGTCAGTCCCAAACAAAGGGACCCTATGAACAACCCAAAGATTCACTGTCCAGTCCTGCATCGGCCAAGCAATTGTTCCTATGTTTGAGCCCACTGCTGAAGTGACGTGCCAATCTATCTTGTCACGAGCTTTCCTCGTCCGTACTGCCCTTCTACTTTACCAAGCATGATGTCCTTTTCCAGGGACTGGTCTCTCCTGATAACAGGATATCAGATAACATTTCCAAAATACAAGAGACAAATTCTCGCCTTCCTTTCCTCTAAGGAGCATTTCTGGGTAGGGGAGCAATTGTATATAGCTTGGGCGTTTTTGAGAATGGAAAGGTGTGTCTAATAAGCACACAAGTACATCACATGGAATGAGGATAGCTCAAGAGGACACCAGCCAATCTAAAGGGCTTCCTATAACAGAGGGCTGAAGCCAAGTGGGTGCCAGATGAACAGATACCAACAGTCTAATGGCCCAGAAAAGATCTTTTGCAAATCTTTGTTTTCAAATCAGTTCTGACTCAGAGAAGCCCAACTGGACACAGAGCAAAGCTGTCCCACAGGTTTTCATGGCTGCCATCTTTGAGGATTAGACACTGCAAGTATTTTTTTCTCCCACACAGGATCCAGTGGTCGAACCCCCAACCTTTTGGTTATTACCTGAGCACTTAACCATAGTGCCCCAAGGCTCTTGAAGGTCTCTTACAAAGAGCCTCCCAAACCATAATGAGAACCAACAAGCTAAATGTTTGGGAGATCAGCTAAAGCTCCGAACTAACATTTAAGATACCAGTCTGAGAGAAAAATCGTCAGTCTACTGCCTACGTGGTTCTGTGGAGTAAGAGAAAAGGAGGACTTGGGGGTTCAGGGTGCATTCTACTGCATATAACTGGGAAGGCAGTGTCGCCATTAACCAAGAAGAGAATGAATGTGGTTAACATGTGGACTTTGAAGTCACTGCAGTAGAGGTAGTGTGGGGAACAGAAGGATTTCTCTTAAGTTGTCTCCCAAAAATATGTACCAGACTTAGCTGCTTAAGCGTAACCATACAATAGGCAGCGAAAGTAGGTCAGAGGTTATTCTCCTTAACATTGGCCATCTGTAG